ATGCTTCGGTATAGATAGAGATTCAGGAACAGCCTGAAAGTCCGTCTTCTCACTGCTAAGCCCCGCCTTCTTCCCCCTGGGGAGGGCCCCTTTGAATAGGTGGTGGAATAGGTGGGCCGGCCTCTTCGGGCCACGGATCAGCGGTGCGGCTGCAACAGCGCTGGCCCAAAGGAGCTCCGGACCGTGTGTAGAAGCCCAGGCCAGCCAGCAGAGTGTGGAGGTGGGAAGGCAGCGATCGTAAGTAGAGGTGATGGCGGAGGCTGCAAGGAGCAGGGGGCGGCTGCCCCCGGATCACCAGAGGATGCAGATTCGGGCGAGGTGACCTCCCGAGGAACAACCCCTGTTGCGAGGGGGAGGTCTACCTCTAAGAAGGCCACCTCAAAATCAGTTAGGAGGAGATCTACTAGCAGGGAGTCCCGCATTACCAGGGCGGCTGGCAGAAGGATTAGGGAAGAAATCAGCCCTTCCCCATCCAGATCACGTTCTCCTATCCGGCCTTTACCTTTACCAGAAACCCATCTGGGTTCCCCACGTGGCACTGCGAGGGAAGCTAGCCCTCTATCCCCACGTTGTCTCCTGCCCAGTCTTCTGGACACCGGGGAGATCCCTTTGGTCGCATGGCTGCTGGTTCTTCCAGACCACGCTTGGCTCCGCTGCGCAACTGGCAAGCAGAGTCCCGGGCAAAGTGGCATTTGGCGGGGGCAGAGTACACGAGAGACAACCTGTTCGGAGCCTCCCTTGATCCTATCCTTATAGAGGACAAGAACAAGCGCAAGGTCTTCCCTTCCACGACCAAGCGCTCCAACCAACACCCTGCGCCTTACCCTAGAAGGTCCTCCTATCGACCCCCTGAGCAGGACTTCCAGCAGCCATGGTATTCTGCTCCCAGATACCCTAGACGGGGACAGGCATTACTCTAGGGACAGGTACAGGTACCAACAGTCCAATAAGTGTCCCTTTCGAGGGGGGGGTGGCCGTCCCTACCGCAGGAACAAGTGATTCGGGATCGGATCTTCCGATCAGCGGTCGCCTTACCTTATATGCGGATCGCTGGAAGCACATCACCACTGATGCTTGGGTTCTTCAGACAGTTGAATTTGGGTTGAAGTTGGAGTTCTGTTCCCATCCCCCGACTAGGTTTCGTCTTTTCCCTTCCTCTAGGAATCCGGCCAAACGTTCCCTTATGCGCAAGGCCATTTGGCACTTGTTAGATATCAGGGCTGTGGAGTTAGTTCTGGAAGAGGAGAGGGGTTTAGGTTTTTATTCCAATTTGTTTGTAGTTCCTAAAAGTTCAGGGGGGTGGAGAGCAATTTTGGACCTCAAGTTATTGAATTCCAGATTGGTCTGCAGGAAATGTAAGATGGCCTCCCTCAAGTCCATCTTAGAGGGAATCAGGGAGGGTGATTTCTTAGCGTCCATTGATCTCACAGAAGCGTATCTTCACATCATGATTGCCCCGGACCACCGACAATTCCTTAGGTTTGCATATTGGGGGGGGGGGCATTACCAATACAGGGCCCTTCCTTTTGGGCTAGCATCCGCCCCTAGGACCTTCACCAAGGTGTCAGCTGTAGCCGCAGGTCATCTTCGGTCCTTCCCAGTCCGGTTGCATTGCTATTTAGATGACATCCTCGTGTTGGCCACTTTGTCGGACAGAGCGGGAAGGGACTTGAACCTCACCCCTGCCACTAGGCTCCAACATTTGGGAACCATCATTGATTCGGTGGCTTGTGAGGTATTTTTGTCACAGGAGCGTAGGGACAGTATTTTGGAGTTGATCCGGGAGATCCGCAAGACGTGTTCTGTTCCTGTAGTCCTTCTCTCCAGGCTCCTGGGCAAGTTCATCTCCTGCATCGGGATTGTGCCTTGGGCTCGCCTTCACGCCAGAGAACTTCACTGGTTCCTGCTGCCACACCAGAGGGATGGGACGAGCGACGCCTTCTTCAAGGTCTTGATGCCACCCCAGGTATTTCCCTCCCTCCGTTGGTGGATGTCCCTGGCTCTTGCCAAGGGCTCCCTCTTCAGGGAACCAGACAGGTTGACTCTGACTACAGACGCGAGTCTGTTCAGCTGGGGGGCACACCTGCAATCTCAGATAGCGCAGGGCAGGTGGACACCCACGGATCTTCGGAAGAACATCAATTGGCTGGAGCTCAGGGCGATTCACTTGGCGCTTCGGCACTTCAAGGAGACAGTGGTCGGTCAACATCTCCTGGTCCTAAGGGACAACGTGGCGGCCAAGGCTCATGTGAACAAGCAGGGAGGCACGCCCTCCTTGGTGCTTCGCAACGAGACAGTTCGGCTGGGCAATTGGGCGGAATGGAATCTCTTGTCGATTCGGGCGGAACACATCTCCGGAGTGGACAACCGGCAAGCAGACTGGCTCAGCAGGGAGATGATAGATCACGGGGAGTGGCAGTTACACCCCAGCATCTTCGAGCGGATTTGCCAGAGGTTTGGCCGACTGTGGATCTCTTCGCCACCCCGTCAAACGCCCAGGTTTTGATGTTCATCTCCCGGTGCCCAGCTCGAGGAGCGAGAGACATCGACCTCTGTTGCAGATGGCCGTCAGGCCTCCTTTACGCCTTCCCTCCCCTTCCTCTCCTTTCCAGGGTTCTGAGGAAGCTAGTGCTAGAGAGAGCAGAGGTCATTCTGATAGCACCCCACTGGTCCCGGCGCCCCTGATTCACGGATCTAGTGGGCCTGTCGGTCAGGCCTCATTGGAGGATTCCCAGGGAGGAAGGAGCTCTGCGCCAGGGGAGTCTGGACCATCCGGATCCCGAGTGGCTCCAATTGACCGTGTGGTTCTTGAGCGGCGGCAGCTGAGGGAGGCCCAGTTTTCAGCCAGGGTGATCAAGATCATTGAGGCTTCCACACAGAAGTCTACCACGCGCATCTACGATGCTACCTGGAGTGCCTTTGTAGCCTGGTGCAGGTCGGCCCAGGTAGATCCGGCTTCGGCATCTGTGCCACAGGTGCTGGAGTTTCTCCAGGATGGTTTAGAGAAAGGTCTGGCTCCCAGTACCCTTAGGAGGCAGGTCTCAGCCTTGGCCACGGTCATTGGGGGAGCGGGCTCTAGATCCCTATCTCAGCACCCTGTAATAAAGAGGTTCCTCAGAGGGGCTGCTAATCTTCGGCCCCTGGTGATCCATCACTTTCCCACCTGGGACCTTCCCACAGTTCTCCAAGCCCTTACAGGGGCTCCCTTCGAGCCTCTGAGGGAGGTAACCTTACAGCGCCTGATGCTCAGGGTGGTTTTTCTGGTGGCTATTACTTCAGCTAGAAGGGTGTTGGAGATCAATGCCTTTATCTGCCAGGGCGGATTTGTGCACCTTCTATGACAACAGGGTTGTTCTCCGGTTAGACCTGGCCTTTCTGCCCAAGGTCAACACCCCATTCCATAGGGCTCAGGAGGTGGTGCTCCCGGACTTCTCTCCAGCACCTTCTGGGGAGAGGGAAAGGTCCTGGCATCGCCTGGTTGTGCGTAGGGCACTGCGTATTTACCTCAGACGCACTGCGGTCTTCAGGAGGTCGGAGGCACTTTTCGTCTCCTTCCAGGCTTCTTCCAGAGGGGCAAAGGTATCACCTGCCTCTATCAGCAGGTGGATTAGACTCGCTATCACTAAGGCCTATGAGGCACGGGGGATCCTGATTCCAGAGGGCATCACCGCACACTCCACCAGTAGTGCGGCAACCTCTGCGGCCTGGGCTACCCAGGCGCCCATTGAGGACATCTGCAGGGCGGCCGCTTGGGCATCGCCCTCTCCCTTCATTAGGCATTACCGGCTGCATGCCTATGCCTCTGCTGAGGCGTCATTTGGTAAGAGGGTTCTTCAGAGAGTGCTAGACACTCAGGGGGCTCAGGCCCAATGATACCCTCCCATGGACATCTAGCTTTGGTATGTCCCACATGTGACTGCTCCCACGCCTCGCTTCTGAGACTGTCAGTTGGTCTTACCTGAACTGCATGTCTAGAAGCGGCGTGGGAGCAGTCACAATCTGCCCGTTCGCTCTTGCGCATGTGGGCCTGAGGGAGATTAGTGTTAGGTCAGTCAGGCCTGGGGGAGGGAGTGTTGTTTTGTTCCTTTTCCTGTTCCCTTCCTTCCCAGGCTCTTCTTGGACTGGACCATCGTTTGATCTGGGGAGTCACAAGGAGGAAGTAGAGGAAGCGACCTCACATTTACTCTGGGCAAATGGGCCGTGTTAATACCCACAAGTGACTGCTCCCACGCCGCTTCTAGACATGCAGTTCAGGTAAGACCAACTGACATTTAAGTGTATATGGCTGCCCATCTCATCATGACTCTGGGAGACCAACCATAACAAAAACAATATAGCCGAACAGCAGCATAACAGTAAATCCATAATTGGCAGTAGGAATAAATCGTAAACAAACACTCAAAATTCAACACAAATAGAAACATCTCACAAGTACTGTCCTGCATTCCAACCCCCATATCCAAAATAATTTTAAAACACGTGATCTGTTCTCTCTCCCCCCCTCAATATTTTCTAGCTCACTCCTATTGAACGCTATGCCATGAACTTTTTGGAGGCATCCCTGGAGGACATCAGTCGGGAGGAGTTGAAGCAAGCAGAGGTAAATTTCCACTACCTGGTTGGTGAAATTATTTTAGATAATACTGGTCAGAAAAATGGGAATCAAGGATCATTTCTTCTTCTTCTTCTTCTTCTTCTTCTTCTTCTTCTTCTTCTTCTTCTTCTTCTTCTTCTTCTT